ATTAAGACTTTATCAAACTTAAAACCTCTCCTCGGGGTCACCTCCAAGGGTCCTTGGGTGCCTGGTACAAGACCAGCCCCTATCCTGGGGTCCGAGTTTGTAGAGAGAGGGATCAAGAGGGACTTAGTCAAAACAGCAAGAGTACCTTGAACGTCGCGCAGCGTATCGTGCAGACTGTAGATCAGATTAAGCTGAGAATTTACTATATTGAAGCTCACTCTAAGAGCTTTAAAATAAGCCAAGTTGCCTCGCGAAAAGTTTTGCCATTACGAAGTTATGGCTCGGACAGCGTTAGCCTAGCGTTGGACTGCTAGCGTACTAGCGTTGACTCGGGTAGCATTCTGCCGTCGCACCGCGTAGAAAAGAAATTCCATGAAGGGAGGAATTCGCTTGAATCAATTTATCTATATTCAGGTACAAACAGAGAAGGAATATATAGTTCTAGCTAGCATGGACCTTGGGAATAAACCTGGGAACAACTAGGGATGATCCCAAATAATTCCAAGCAACAGAACCAACCTGGCTGGACAAAACAGCAGGTAGTAGGTTGGTAAACAACCTCTGGTTCTGTTTTTCCAACCTGGGAAAACAACAACCAGGTTCAGGTCCTAAAAACAGAACCTGTTTTGTCTTTGCCCAACCAGCCAAATGCTGGTTCCACTGGTTTCCCCTGGCCCTGTAGCATGCAGATACAGACAAACAACATCCAACCTTCACCTCTATAGTGCCTGCCCTGCTACACTATAGTCAACCAAACAAAACAGTACAATTTCGAGTTGGATAGAACTGAATCTGCACAATCAATTCAACCGAACCGCAAAGCTTCCATCTTGGGTTCCTTTGCGAGCTCCTCCTTTCTGCTTAACCGTTCATAGTGCGTACAATGTTGTGCCGAAGCGCATAATGCGCGAGTACCTGCAAATGCTTCAAGCGAAAATTGCGAAAGCAAACAAACACACGAACATTCCATTCATACCCAAATGCATTTGCACACGCATACTCGTACAAACAGACGGCAGGATGTCGTGCAATGTGAATTTGCACCCAACATCAAGGAGGGCAGTCGTGGAGGAGGAGGTCAACGTCGGGAATGCTGGCTGTGCGGCGATCCCGATCACCTCTCCTTCCTGTGCCGCGAAACCACGGGAGGACCGTGGGAGCCGCGAAATTGTGGGAGGTCCGTGGGAGCCGCGATATCGCGGGAGGTCCGTGGGAGCTGGCGAAACCGCGGGAGGACCGTGGGAGCTGCAAAATCGCGGAAGGACCGTGGGAGCCGCGAAACCGCGGGAGGACCGTGGGGGCCGCGAAACCGCGGGAGGACCGCGAAATACCCGATCAACCAGGATACCCGGGCGACGTGCGCGAAAGTCGCTGGGGGGTGTAGTCTGCAATGACGACCTCGGGGGTGGTATCCCGAGGTCGACGTGGCTGGTGGGCACCGTCACGGGTGGAGTGTCTGCGCTGGGCATGTGACAGCGAGTTGGGCGCCAACCAGCTGCACGCACTTGCGAAGCTGGTGCACCATTGTCAAGCGGGTGCAACGTTGTGCAGCTGACTTACTGCAGCGTTGGCACACCGCGGACTGGCAACGTTGGCAAGCCGCGACTCTGCTCTGCTGGAGCGCGGTCGACCAAGTCGTGCTGGTACGCGGTCGACCGTGCTGCGCTGGCAGTCGACCAGCAGCCTTGCTAGGTCTGATGTAGTCTGTGTTGCCAATGTTGATGTAATCATTTTGAACTTTTGTTGTCATGTTTTCCTAGTGAAACTCTTGCCAATTTTCCCCGTGAACTAGCAAGCAGTGTTAGCACTTGGAAACGACTAAGGAACGAACGAACGCTACGATCACTCTTGCCCTGTGCCTAGCCCGTAGTCTAGCTCCCGCTGCACCAGTTATCTCCTCAGTATCTATCGAAACACTCAGAGATAAGTTCTCTGTCATTTACTGCAGCGTGGATGTGTTGCCTTCCATAATGGAATTAGTGGGTCGCTGTACCCAAGGACTTCAGTCAGTCTGGTGACTCGCACAATCAAAGGCAAACATTTTCCTATGCTTAAGGGATGGACGGTACTTGCCGCATGGTATATCACATGTGGTGGAGGCAGTGACATGGATGCGACTACCCCGAGCTAGCTGAAATTGCGCGCTGTGTCCTCGCCGAGCCCGTCTCCGCCTCCTCTTGCGAGATATTGGGCTGTGTGGGCGGTGTCAACGCGAGTTGTGTGTTGGCCCTGTCCACGCTTGAGCGGAGCCGACTTCGTGGTGGGATGTACGGAAGGTACAGCCGACTTGCAGTAGTGGGCGACGCCCACTTGGGCGAGCTGGTCGACGGGGTTGGTCAACTTGCACGGGGCCACTGCAATGCCGCCGACTTGGGAAGCCGGCGGCTGACTTCAACTGGTGGTCGGCATTGTGGCACGTCGACCTGGAAGTCGGCGCCGACTTGCAAGGTCACCGACTTGGGAGGTCGCCGACTTCAAGAGGTCGGCCCGGAAGTCGGCGCCGACTTGGTGACGCCGATTTCGGGTAGCCGACCTAGGTGGTCGGCTGACAACCGCGCTGGTCGACGTGGAGCTGGTCGACCAGGAGTGACATCGACCTGGAGCTGGTCGACCAGAGGAGTGGTCGACCTGGTGAGGTCGACTTGGTGTAGTCGTCGACTTGGGAGGTCGACGAGTACATACAGAAGCAGCTGGTCGACATAAATGCCCGGTCGACCAGGATACTTGGGTGACGAGGTTCTGCGAAGGAGTGCGACGGTCGCCCAGGCGAAATTGGCGAGTCCGACCTCGGTGGTGGTATCCCGAGGTCGACGTGGCGGATCCGGTGGAGCTGTCAGCACGAGGATGACTTGGTGCGTGCGCTGTTCAAGTGACGAGGCTTAGCCCGCCAATCATCTACAAGCACCTGCGAAGTAGGTGCGCTGCTGTTCTGTGGGAGCAATGCTGGCACGCCGCCAACCTGCAGCGTTGGCACGCCGTCGACTTTGCACTGCTAAAGCGCAGTCGACCAAGTCTTGCTGGAACGCGGTCGATTATGCTGTGCAGGCGAGAGAGGGAGGACAGGCGGAGACCTTGGAAGGCCAGAGACCAGGAAGCGAGAGTGCATGCTACGAAGGCGAGGCAGGGAGGGGTGACCAAGGCAGTAGTGCCACAGGAGAGTGTCGTGCGATAGCCGGCGAAACTCACACTGGGTAGCTACCTGAGCAGACGCGTACAGCTGGGGAGACAAAGCGGAAGAGCGCGATGCAGTGGTGAGGGTGTACAGACTAGACCCAGGCGCACGTGTGAACGTGGCCAGGTGACGGCCGGTCCGGAAGCATGTGCAGATTGCCACACGCTGTCCTCCAGAAGTATAGGCGTCAACCCAGTGATCCTGAAGGACGGCGTTGCTCACCAAGTTCGTAGAGAACGAGGGGATGTGGAGACCACAAAACTCACTAGTCGAGACCGCCGGACACGGAAGTACAGTGGAAGACCGTGCAAGCACTGGGCCCCTGGAGGGGTCAGCCAGTGAGACAGGAACAGGTGCAGGGAGGGGAGTGACTGTGGTTCTGTCGCGAAAGAAACAGCGGGAAGCACCTGAGTCAAGTGTGAAGAAGTGCAAGGCATGTGCGGACGCAGTATCAGGAGGAGCAGACTCACAACCACCTGTTAGTGTAAGGGCCTAAAAAACTCAAGCTTTTTTAGACTTGATCAAACTTCATATTTTGTTTGGGATCACCTCCAAGGGTCCTTGGGTGCCTGGTACAAGACCAGCCCCTATCCTCGTGTCCGAGTTTGTAGAGAGAGGGATCAAGAGAGACTTAGTCAAAACAGCAAGAGTACCTTGAACGTCGCGCATCGTATCGTGCAGACCGTCGATCAGATTAAGCTGAAAATTTTCTATATCAAAGCTCGCTCCAAGAGCTTTAAAGTAAGCCATGTAGCCTCACGAAATGTTCTGCCATTATGAAGTTATGGCTCGGATAGCGTTTTTGTAGTGTTGGAGTGCTAGCGTACTAGCGTTGACTCGGGTAGCATTCCGCCGTCGTACCGCGTAGAAACGAAATTCCAGGAAGGAAGGAATTCACTTGAATCAAATTGACTATATCCAGGTACAAACAGAGAAGGAATAAATAGTTCAAGCTAGCAAGGACCTTGGGAATAAACCTGGAAACAACCAGGGATGATCCCAAACAATTCCAAGCAACAGAACCAACCTGGCTGGACAAAACAACAGGTGGTAGGTTGGTAAACAACCTCTGGTTCTGTTTTTCCAACCTGGGAAAACAACAACCAGGTTCAGGTCCTAAAAACAGAACATGTTTTGTCTTTGCCGAACCAGCCAAATGCTGGTTCCGCTGGTTTCCCCTGGCCCTGTAGCATGCAGATACAGACAAACAACATCCAACCTTCACCTAAATTGTACCCCTATAGTGCCTGCCCTGCTACACTATAGTTAACCAAACAAAACAGTACAATTTCGAGTTGGATAGAACTGAATCTGCGCAATCAAGTAAGCCGAACCACAAAGCTTCCATGTTGGGTTCCTTTGCAAGCTCGTCCTTTCTGCTTGTACTGTTCATAGCGCTTACAATGTTATGCCGAAGCGCACATTGTGCGAGTACCTGCAAATGCTTCAAGCGAAAATTGCGAAAGCAAACAAACACACGAACATACCATTCACACGCAAATGCATTTGCACACGCATACTCGTACAGACGGCAGGATGTCGTGCAATGTGAATTTGCACCCAACACACTCCCCCTCAGCCTGCCGGCTGCATCCCCATCATTCCATACTAGTTCATGCTCATTCCACTCATGCGCACACAACGCCAATGAGGCTCATCCGCAAGCCTCTTGGTGAGGAAGTCTGCTGGCTGCTGGTGAGTCTTGATGTAGACCGGATTCACCGTCCCCCTCTTCACCTCCTTACGCAGCCAGTGCCACTTGATACGCATGTGCTTATTGAGCCCATGAAGCACAGCGTTCCTGGCCATCCCAAGAGCTCCCTTGCTATCACAAAACAGCGGCGTAGCAACCTTTTGCTCCTGGCCAATCTCCTCCAACATGCCTCCTCAGCCAAATCACCTCCTTCACCCCATGAAACATTGCCATGTACTCTGACTCCACGGACGAGAGTGCTGTCTCCGTCTGCTTCTTTGACCTCCAACTAACCGGTCCTCCCCCAACTACGCAGATGTATCCTCTCACAGATGAGGAATCCTCCTTCTCAGAGGCCCACGTAGCATCGGTAAAGCAAGTGAGAAAAAACTTGCCTTCTCCAAGCCTCTCCCCCTTCTGTTTCAGCACCTCAACCCCTTTCTGCTTCACCTGTGCAGATGCGGAGTATTGAACTCCAATGCTTGGGTGAGAGTTCAGATACTTCACCACACGCTCAGCTGCATCCACCTGCTCCTCTGATGGATTCTGCATCACCCTAGCCATCTCCAACCGAGAAAGAGATGTCGGGCCTCGTGTGAACTGCTGCATACAAGAGGCTGCCCACCAAGGACTGAAATTGCTGCTGCTCCTCGGCTTCAACCCCTTCATCCTCTGCAGCTTTCACAAGCTTGAATTCTGCTGGCAGGGGAGTTGCAACCTTGCGCTCATTCTCAATTCCGTACTTCTCCCCAAGCTCCTTGATGAACTTCTCCTGGTGCAGCTTCAACCACCTGTGATCCAGATCCCTCTCCACGTGCATCCCGAGGTAGTACTTTACCTCCCCAAGGTTCTTGCACTTGAAGTTCTCCATCAGCTGCTCCTGCACCTTCTGGATCTCCTTCATCTGCTGCTGAAGAGAAGAAAGTCGTCCACGTAGACCAGAAACAACACCAGCTTCTCCCCCTCCCCCTTGAGAAAGAGGCTCTCATCACAGCTGCTGGTCCTGAATCCCATCTCCTCTAAAACAGCTGCCAACTTCTGGTACCAGCAGCGTGGCGCCTGCTTCAAGCCGTAGATGGACTTTTTCAGCTTGCACACCCTGCCCGTACCATCCTCATACCCAGGTGGCTGCGTCATGAACACCTCCTCCTCTAAAATCCCGTTGAGAAATGCCGTTGATATGTCCATCTGGATAATGAACTTCCCACTAACGGCTGCATCTACCAACAAGACACGAAGGGTAGGGGGTTTGGCAGTGGGAGCAAAGATCTCATTGAAGTCCCGCTTCTCCTTCTGCATAAACCCCTTAGCCACCAACCTACTCTTGTAGATGGTGACCTGTCCCTTGTTGTCAGTCTTGATCCTTAGCACCCACTTGCACTGTACGGCTTTCTTCCCCTCAGGCAGCACCACCAGCTCCCATGTCCCATTCTCTAGCAGGCTCTGGTACTCAGCATCCCTAGGAGCTAGCCATTTGTCCCTATCTGGTCCAGCTAATGCCTCCTCCATGCTAGCTGGTTCCTCTGGTGCAGGGGCAAGAAAACAGTACGCAGGTTCATCCTCCTCATCCGGGTCATAGCCATGCGGTAGAATCAGCAATGCCTCCTCAGTCCCAAGCTGCTGCTCCGCTACATCAGCTCCTGCAGTCAGCTTCTTAGTAGCCATACGGGTACGTCCTGGCCTGGAGACGGGTGTCTCCCATCCCTTCATAACAACACCCTTCGGCTTCTTAGTTTTTCCCTGCTGCTGCTCTCCTCCCTCGGATCCAGCAGCTCCACTAGTGCTACCGCTAGTCTCCACACCATCACCTCCACCAGCAGGTGCCTCCTGCACCTTCTCTTTATCACCACCCTCTGCAGCTGCCTCCTCTCCCTCCTCCCACACACTAGGAGTCAGGTCCAGCTGCATGGTGATCTGCTCCATCTGCTGGGACACCCTGGCCTCCGGCTGTTTCTCCCAGCTCCCATACATCATGCCCTCAACAAACTTCACATCCCTGCTGTCAAACAACACACCCTTGGAAGGCTCCTACAGCAGCCATCCCTTGCTCTCAGCAGCCAGCCCCAAATGCACACACCAGATTGCACTCGCCCCCAACTTACTGCGGTAGGTCTTGGGGACGTGGGCGACTGCCATGCAACCGAACACCCTCAGCATGTCCACCGGCGGCTTCCTCCCAAGCCACCTCTCCAACGGCACCCACGAGTCATCCCCAACCTTTGTAAGTACCCTGTTCCTAGCGACGGTAGCGTGCCGAACAGCATGGGGCCACATCAAGTTGCCCAGCCCAGATTCTATGAGCAGCGCCCTAGCTGTCTCCAGAATTGTCCGGTTCGCCCGTTCTGCTACACCGTTGGACTGTGGGGTGTAAGCCGTGGTCAGCTCCCTCTGGATGCCCTGCTTCTTGAGCCAGGCCGTCATCTCAGCTCCAAGGAACTTACCACCCCGATCTGTCCTAATCCGCTTCACCACACACTCCGCTTGCTTCTCCACGAACGGCAGCCAATCGTCCCGAATCGTGGAGGCGGCGTGATCTTTCTGCTTCAGCGGATACGCCCACATTAGCCTGCTCCAGTCATCCACTAAGGTTAGGAAATACCGCTCCCCCTTGTGCCCTTGCACCGGCAGCGGCCCCACCAAGTCCATGTGGACCAGCTCCAACGGCTTTTTGCTCCTACCAGCCACACTATAGAAGGGGAAACGGGTGAACTTTGAAAGGAGGCAAATTTCACAGTTATCATCGGGTGGTTGTCCGTTCAGCTTCAAGCCCTTAACGGCTCCATCCTTCTCCAGCTGCTTCAGCAAAGGCATTGCCACATGCCCCAAGCGTCGGTGTGCAGTTGCCCAATCCGTCTCCCCAGATCTGGCCGACACTTTCACACCAACCCCTCCAACGGCATTGCACTCCCCCTGGGATGCAGACTCGTCTCCAGCCTGCCCCCCACCGTGCCACGCCAGCGCCGGCAGCTGCCACATAGATCTGTACACGTCCTTGCTCTCGTGCAGATCCCAAAGCACCCGATTGCCCAGCTTCTCCTTATAAGTGCGAGCCCCATCTGTGTTGGTGTTCACCCCAGCCTTGCCAAGCTTACGGAGGGAGATAAGGTTGGCCTTCAGGTCGGGGACGAGGAGAACGTCGTGCAGCACCACCGGCTTGCCATCCGCTCCCTTAAACGCAGCTCGTCCCGCACCAGCCACCTTCAACATGTGTCCAGAGGCAGAGCACACCTCATTAATCGGTGCAGCGCGTACGTGTTGGTGTAAGGGCCTAATAAACTCAAGCTATAAACTCAAGCTTTATCAAACTTAAAACCTCTCCTCGGGGTCACCTCCAAGGGTCCTTGGGTGCCTGGTACAAGACCAGCCCCTATCCTCGGGTCCGAGTTTGTAGAGAGAGGGATCAAGAGGGACTTAGTCAAAACAGCAAGAGTACCTTGAACGTCGCGCAGCGTATCGTGCAGACCGTCGATCAGATTAAGCTGAGAATTTCCTATATCGAAGCTAACTCTAAGAGCTTTAAAATAAGCCAAGTTGCCTCGCGAAAAGTTCTGCCATTACGAAGTTATGGCTCGGACAGCGTTAGCCTAGCGTTGGAGTGCTAGCGTACTAGCGTTGACTCGGGTAGCATTCCGCCCTCGCACCGCGTAGAAAGGAAATTCCAGGAAGGGAGGAATTCGCTTGAATCAATTTCACTATATTCAGATACAAATAGAGAAGGAATAAATAGCTATAGCTAGCAAGGACCTTGGGAATCAACCTGGGAAGAACCAGGGATGATCCCAAATAATTCCAAGCAACAGAACCAACCTGGCTGGACAAAAAAGCAGGTGGTAAGTTGGTGAACAACCTCTGGTTCTGTTTTTCCAACCTGGGAAAACAACCACCAGGTTCAGGTCCTAAAAACAGAACCTGTTTTGTCTTTGCCCAACCAGCCAAATGCTGGTTCCGCTGGTTTCCCCTGGCCCGGTAGCATGCAGATACAGACAAACAACATCCAACCTTCACCTAAATTGTACCCCTATAGTGCCTGCCCTGCTACACTATAGTCAACCAAACAAAACAGTACAATTTCGAGTTGGATGGAACTGAATCTGCGCAATCAAGTAAGCCGAACCACAAAGCTTCCATCTTGGGCTCCTTTGCGAGCTCGTCCTTTCTGCTTGTACTGTTCATAGCGTGTACAATGTTATGCTGAAGCGCACATTGTGCGAGTACCTGCAAATGCTTCAAGCGAAAATTGCGAAAGCAAACAAACACACGAACATTCCATTCAAACCCAAATGCATTCGCACACGCATACTCGTACAAACAGACGGCAGGATGTTGTGCAATGTGAATTTGCACCCAACAGTACGTCGTCCAGCAGGTCCTTGCGCGGCGTCATTGTCCAAGCAGCGCCTGTGTTCAACACCCAATAGTCCAAGGGGTGCAGATCTGCTCCAACCTTAGCAGATGCGTCTCCTTGCTCCCCCTTGTCTCCCACATGGAAGAATTGGCCCGCGGTGCGCTCCTTATTCTTCTCCGCACCGCCGTTGCCCTTCGAGTTGTTGTTGGACGAATCAGCGACCATGTTGGCGCCGTTTTTCTGGTTCCTCCGCGCGCCGCCATCCTGGTGGCGATTCTGGGGGGTCCATCCATCGGGTTTCTTATAGCACAAAAACCAGGGGTGCCCTTCCTTCTCACAATACCAGCAACTCCCTTTCATTTTGCCACCAGCACCCGACTTGCCCCCACGTCCAGATTTCGCACCGTGACCCAACCGGTACCTCCTTGTTGGTCGTTGGAGTCGTCGTCTTTCTTTGCACCGCGTCCAGCACCACCGAAGCCACGTCCCTTGCCACGTCGGCTCCCTTGCATCCCGTAGCCGCTGCTGCCGTCGTCTCCACCCCTCAGTTGGCGGCGACGGAAGTCCTCCTCCAGAATCTTCGTCCGCACCCACTCGAGCGTCCACAAGCTCTGGTTCTGCGGCAGGCTCAATCCGCTCGTGAATTGAAGCCACGATTCCGACAGCAGCGAGAGCATCTTCAGGCAGTTGGTCTGCTCCGGGTAGGTGATTCCCGCGATCGCCAGCTTCACGTAGAGATCACGCATCTTGTCCAGGATGGGTTGTACCGGCTCTCCCTCGCTCAGGCGCAACGCGGACAGCTCCCTCTCCAGCATCAATGTTGCAATAACGGAGGTCGGGGCGTGCAGCTCCTTCAACACGGTCCACGCCTTCGGACCGCACTCAACCTCCGGCAGCAGGTGCATGACGTGGTGACGCTGGTTCAGCTCCAAACTCTGCGACATCAAGTAGTAGCCAGCCGAGGCGCGCTCGTCCCAATCTTCCTGAAGGGCGGGGTCACTCGGTCTAGGCTCCTCCCCAATCATTAGTTTCAGCAATCCGATCTGACGGAAATAAAGTTGCATTTTCCAGGCCCAATCATCATAGCCCTCACCATTGAACTTCTCGACGGTGAAGTTTTTCAGCACCTCCTTGATCAGCGAGCCCTGGCTTGTTCGCGCTCCCCTTGGCGCAGAAACGCCAGAATCATGGCTGCCGCTACGATCTTGGGCTGAAGATTCACCAGCTACCGCCGAGGTGTTCCCCGCCATAGCTACCTATATCGAGGATCACTATAACGCAGCTCTGATACCAGCTTGTTGGTGTAAGGGCCTAATAAACTCAAGCTATTAAGACTTTATCAAACTTAAAACCTCTCCTCGGGGTCACCTCCAAGGGTCCTTGGGTGCCTGGTACAAGACCAGCCCCTATCCTCGGGTCCGAGTTTGTAGAGAGAGGGATCAAGAGGGACTTAGTCAAAACAGCAATAGTACCTTGAACGTCGCGCAGCGTATCGTGCAGACCGTCGATCGGATTAAGCTGAGAATTTCCTATATCGAAGCTCACTCTAAGAGCTTTAAAATAAGCCAAGTTGCATCGCGAAAAGTTCTGCCATTACGAAGTTATGGCTCGGACAGCGTTAGTCTAGCGTTGGAGTGCTAGCGTACTAGCGTTGACTCGGGTAGCATTCCGCCGTCGCACCGCGTAGAAAAGAAATTCCAGCAAGGAAGAAATTCGCTTGAATCAATTTCACTATATTCAGGTACAAACAGAGAAGGAATAAATAGCTCTAGCTAACAAGGACCTTGGGAATCAACCTGGGAACAACCCGGGATGATCCCAAATAATTCCAAGCAACAGAACCAACCTGGCTGGACAAAATAGCAGGTGGTAGGTTGGTGAACAACCTCTGGTTCTGTTTTTCCAACCTGGGAAAACAACAACCAGGTTCAGGTCCTAAAAACAGAACCTGTTTTGTCTTTGCCCAACCAGCCAAATGCTGGTTTCGCTGGTTTCCCCTGGCCCTGTAGCATGCAGATACAGATAAACAACATTCAACCTTCATCTAAATTGTACCCCTATAGTGCCTGCCCTGCTACACTATAGTCAACCAAACAAAACAGTACAATTTCGAGTTGGATTGAACTGAATCTGCGCAATCAAGTAAGCCGAACCACAAAGCTTCCATCTTGGGTTCCTTTGCAAGCTCGTCCTTTCTGCTTGTACTGTTCATAGCGCGTACAATGTTATGCCGAAGCGCACATTGTGCGAGTACCTGCAAATGCTTCAAGCGAAAATTGCGAAAGCAAACAAACACACGAACATACCATTCACACGCAAATGCATTCACACACGCATATTCGTACAGACGGCAGGATGTCGTGCAATGTGAATTTGCACCCAACAAGTTTCACTATATTCAGGTACAAAAAAAGAAGGAATAAATAGTTCTAGCTAGCAAGGACCTTGGGAATAAACTTGGGAACAACTAGGGATGATCCCAAATAATTCCAAGCAACAGAACCTGTCGGACTAATATATAATTCCATATATTGTTCTATAACTGCCTATAGTGTGAAATACTGTAGTCATATAACTTTCTAGTTGGTGGTGCACCTTGCATGCTCTGTTTGCTATATGTACTCTTGTACTATAGTGAATACCACTTCGTTCTCAACTTTCTCGACACTTCTCCTTACCCTCGAACTCGATCACTAAGCTAGTAAACCTATGGCTCCTAAGCCTATTCATAATTAGTATCTTAACATGGAATCAGAGCGACTACGCTCTTGGCCTGTGGGCCCCACGTGCTTCTGCTGCTTTCTTGTCTGTCGCGCGCCCCGTGGCGCGCGACACCTTTTTCTTCCCGCCACGCGCTTGGGGCGTGTGGCGGTTTTCCGCCCGCCGTGCGCTTCGGGCGCGCGGCGTCTTCCTGCCCCGTCGCCGCCCTTCTCGGCCCCTCACGGCCTCTTCGCGGCCCCGTCGCTGCTCCTCTCACGGCCCCTCGCGCCACCCTTAGCGGCCCCGTCGCCACACTTCGCGGCCCTGTCGCCGCCCCTATCGGCACTGTCGCCATTCCTAGCGGCCCCGTCGCCGCCCCTAGCGGCCCCGTCGCCGCCCTTCTCAGCCCCTCGCGGCCCCTTCGCGGCCCTGTCGCCGCCCCTTCTCGGCCCCGTCGCCGACCTTAGCGGCCCCGTTGCCGCCCCTAGCGGCCCCGTCGCCGCCCTTCTCGGCCCAGTCGCCGCCCCTCGCGGCTCCGTTGCCGCCCCTAGTGGCCCCGTCACCTGTTCGTCGCGCCCCCCCCCCCCCCCCCCCCTGGCCGCCGCCTCTGCCTCCCCTGTGCCCGCGCCTGCTTTGCAACAGCGCGCGGGCCTGCCTTTCAACTGCAGCCGCCCCTGGAGCAGCCGCCACTGCAGCAGCCGTCCCTGGAGCAGCCGCCACTACAGCAGCCACCCCTGGAGCAGCCGCCACTGCAGCAGCCGCTCCTGGAGCAGCCGCCCCTGGACCAGCCGCCCCTGGACCAGCCGCCACTGCAGCAGCCGCCCCTGGAGCAGCCGCCCCTGCAGCAGCCGCCCCTGGCCTCTGGAGCAGCCGCCACTACAGTAGCCGCCCCTGGCCCCTGGAGTAGCCGCACCTGCAGCCGCCCCTGGCCCCTGGAGCAGCCGCCCCTGCAGCAGCCGCCCCTGGCCACTGGAGCAGCCGCCACTGCAGGAACCGCCCCTGGCCCCTGGAGCAGCCGCCCCTGGAGCAGCCGCCCCTGGAGCAGCCGCCACTGCAGCAGCCGCTCCTGGACCCGGTGCAGCCGTGGGGGAGTGGGTATGGGGGTGGCGGGTGTGGGGGTGATGGGTATGGGGGTGGCGGGTGTGGGGGTGATGAGTGTGGGACAGGTGGGGGAGGTTGAGTGGAGGTGGCCGCCGTGAAGCCAGCAGCTCCAGTCGCCCGTGAGACCGTTGCGCCAGTCGCCCGTGAGCCCGTAGCTCCAGTCGCCAGTGAGCCCGTTGCTCCAGTAGCCCGTGGGTCAGTTGCTCCTGCCGCTCGTCTAGCCACGGAGCCAGTTACTCCAGTTGCCCGTGTGCCAGTTGCTCCAGTTGCCAGTATGCCTGTTGCTCCAATAGCCCGTGTGCCAGTTGCTCCAGTTGCGCCGTGTGTCTGCAGCTTCCGCCGTCGCCTCCCATCTCCTCTCCTGTCACAGTCCCTCCTCCTCCTCACTTCCCCTCTCCTTCTCCTGCGCTTGGTGTACCCCTTCAGGGGGCGTTGACTGCACATTCTTCCCTACAGGCACTTATGGGGGCGTGTCAGACTAATATATAATTCTATATATTGTTCTATAACTGCGTGTGGTGTAGAATACTGTAGTCATATAACTTTCTAGTTGGTCGTGCACCTTGCATGCTCTGTTTGCTATATGTACTCTTGTGCTATAGTGAACACCACTTCCCTCTCAACTTTCTCGACACTTCTCCTTACCCTCGAACTGGATCACTAAGCTACTAAACCTATGGCTCCTAAGCCTATTCATGCTTAGGATTCTAACAGAACCAACCTGGCTGGACAAAACAGCAGGTGGTAGGTTGGTAAACAACCTCTGGTTCTGTTTTTCCAACCTGGGAAAACAACAACCAGGTTCAGGTCCTAAAAAAACAGAACCTGATTTGTCTTCGCCCAACCAGCCAAATGCTGGTTCCGCTGGTTTCCCCTGGCCCTGTAGCATGCAGATACAGACAAACAACATCCAACCTTCACATAAATTGTACCCCTATAGTGCCTGTCCTGCTACACTATAGTCAACCAAACAAAACAGTACAATTTCGAGTTGGATAGAACTGAATCTGCACAATCAATTCAACCGAATCGCAAAGCTTCCATCTTGGGCTCCTTTGCGAGCTCGTCCTTTCTGCTTGTACTGTTTATAGCGCGTACAATGTTGTGCCGAAGCGCATAATGCGCGAGTACCTGCAAATGCTTCAAGCGAAAATTGCGAAAGCAAACAAACACACGAACATTTCATTCACACCCAAATGCATTCGCACACGCATACTCAGACAAACAGACGGCAGGATGTCGTGCAATGTGAATTTGCACCCAACAGCTGCTGCTGCTGCTGCCCCTGCCCACCACCGGCCTCACCCAAACTCCCACCACCACCGCCACCAACACTCCTCGCTCCACCACCACCGCCGCTGCCACCACCACCGCTCCCGGCACCACCACCGCCCCCACCACTACCTCCACCCCCATGACCACCGCCACCACCTCCACCGCCCCCGCCGCCTCCACCACCGCCCCCTCCACTGCCACGTCCGCCACCCCTGCCACCCTTGCCTCCCTTGAAGCCGCTGCGGTTCCCACTCGGAGCGGAAGCAGCTGCGACCTTCTCAGCACCAAGGAGGTTGACAGCAGCAGGTGCAGAGGCGTAGGAGGGGGTGAGAGGGGAGGGGGAGCACCCCTCAATTGGGGAGTGCGGGGAGTACCACGAGCAGCACCTACAGCTAGAATGTTCTTCTCCGCTGCTCGGAGGTGCTTCTCGAGGTCCTCGACAGTGAGAGAATGGTGGTCAAGGGCGAGGAAGTGGTCCCTGACTGAGCGAAGAGTGTCAGGGAGGCGGGTGATGAGGAAGTACATCGGGGGGTGGTTCTTTGCGACGAACTCGGCTGGAAGGGCGGCACGAAGGCGAGTGTCACTAGCGCGTAGGTGAGAGATGAGGTCCTCAGCGGTGGTTAACGAGGACAGGTCGGGGAATTGGTAGGGTAGCATAAGTCGACCGAGGGCTGCAGTGGCCGGGGAAGAGCAGTGGGCAACTACAGCGTCGTAAAGCGCCTTGGCAGTTATGTGCTGGCTAAAATGCGCGCGCTCTGTGATCGGAAGATGGTTGCGAATAGCGAGGCGCGCAGCAGCATCGTGGGTCTGCCACTGGGAGCGGTCTAGAGCAGGCTCAGTGTCAGCAGGAGCAACGGCAGTGCCAGACACGTAATCGAACAGGGAAACACCGTCCTTGGCATCAGTCAGAAGGAACAGTTGCAGGTCGTCAAGCCAGGTGTTAAACTCTACTGGGCGACCGTCAGGATCGAACGCAAGCACGTTGAGAGTCACCATGCATGCAGCATAGGCAAGTCTAGTGCGCAGGTGGCAAGGCAAAAGGCAAGCAAGGAGAGACTGCGTGCAAGGCTGCAGTGGCGGCGCACGGACTGCAGTGGCGGTGCACGGACTCCTAAGGCAGCACGGAGGGCAGCAGTGGGCCGCGCGTGGGCCTCTAAAGCGGCGCGCGGTGCAACAGCAGGCCGCACGCGGGCTCATAAGGCGGCGCACGGTGCAGCAGTAGGCGCGGGCTCCTAAGGCAGCGCACGGCGCAGAGCAGGTGCGGGCTGTGCGACCTAAGGAGGCGACGTGGGGGCAGCAGCGGGCTGCACAGGCGGATGACGCGGCGCGCGGGCCGGCGGCAGGCTGCGCGGGCGGCTAACACGGTGCGCGGGGCCGAAAGCGGGCTACACGGGCAGCGGACGCGGCGCGCAGGGCCTAAGCGGGCTGCGCCTGGGCGGCTTACGCAACGCGCGGGCCGGCGGCAGGCTGCGCGGGCGGCTGACGTGACGCGCGGGGCCGAAAACGGGCTGCGCGCAGGCTGCTTCAGTGGCGCGCGGGAAAAAAAAAGGGCCGCGCGTGTGCAGCCGTGGCGCGGGCAGGCAGGCAGGTGAGGTAACGTGGTAACCGGTGGGCCCTAAACTTAGGTCCTAAAGACCTATGCTCTAGATACCATCGTAGAAGCTAGGCATGAATGAGTCTTAACTATCGAGAGAATTTTTGGTACAAGGAGAAAACCCTAAGGGGTTAAACTCCACAGTATCTACCCCACTAAAGCCTACCAACAAATATAACATATGCATATGTTTGACACTGGACTGACGTAATAACGACAACGAACCCAACACCCCGCTGTACAGCACCACTGCACCGCACAGCTGGCAACTGTGACAATGCACCCAGACAATGATGCTTTTTTGCCACGCGCACCGCGCAATGCACAACATGCCTGTGCCATTTGCCAGAAAGGCATCTTAACAGTCGGCGCCGGCAGTCTAGCAGCCATTTAATGAATTCGGCCTTGCATCCGAGTCCGAATTCATTGACGACACAAGCCATCAATTTCGTGGCGTTGCGACGCGGTGGTTTTTTGATGACCCCGCCATCTCCAACCATCCATTCCTTCCCCATCTACCCCCAGCCTGGCTTGTTGAAGAGCAGCTGCTGTTATTTTCATTTCGTCCTTTTCTTCTCGCACTTTCTCTCGCTCCATCTTTCTTCTATCTCGCCGCCATGCCTGCCGGCCGACGATGCTGAGCCTCAAGCTGGCCCATCATCCACCTTTACCAGCAAAATCAACTGCGCCAACCCTGCCGGAGAAAGCTTCAAATGCCCCCCGCTCTGGCCTCGATTTTCTTAGAACTAGTGGTGCTCCAGTGACACCTGATGCTCCGAGGTCTACCGTTCATGACTCTGCAGCTAGAGTAATACCCACTCCATCTGACTCTCCCCGTCCTGCTGCCTTCACTCTACTCCCGGCTGTTGTTTCTTGTAGTAAGGATCCCCCACCGCCCTCGCCTAGTCCCACTCCAAGCACGGTGCGGGTGTCCCTTGGTCCACTCCCAAGCGAGCGCGATCTGGAAAGTGGGCATAGAGTACGCTCCTCGTTGGAGGCCGCCGTATTCCACAGTCTGACAGGCCGGTTGATCGACCACTTGATGTCGGTGACATCACGGAAGAAGGTGACATTCCTGTCCGCGCGGACACAGGCTCGCCCGCGCTCACCAAGATGCAGCTGAGAGAGCAGATGTACATTTAGGCGAGTATTAACTTTCAGAATAACGAACATGAATGAATGAACTAGCAGCAGGATGGGTACAAGTAGTAAACCCTAATTGGGTTGTACCCCATATGGGCTACCCCACTACAGCCTACATAATAAGCAGCATATAAGTTTAGAAAGGCAAAGCAAGCTCAGGGTGGAACACGAAGTCACCACGCATTCTGAGCACAAGCAAAAGGCCACAAGGCCACTTCACATGTAGAGTTATATATAGGAGAACAAGCAGTACAATGATCACAACCTAGCAAGTGTAAGCATGCAGGTATAAGTATATAGATCACAGTACAGGCAAAGTCAAGAAGTGAGCAAGTGAGGCAAAGTAGGCACAAGGCCTAGAACAGTACAGAAACGCTGATGATCACAAGGCTGAAGTGCCTTGGTGAAGATATCAGCAGTGTTGGCCAGAGAGGCAACGTAAACAAGACGAAGCTGACCACGCTGCTGCAACTCTCAAGCAAGGAAGTAAGGCAGAGCGATGTGCTTCATTCTGTGCTCCAGTCTGTGCTCCTGACACAAGGCAATCATGGCCTTGTTGTCGACGTACAAAACTGGAGGAGAACGAGGCGGCTCTCCCAAGTTGGTCATGAAGTAAATAAACCAGCGTAACTCCTGTGCAGCCATGGCTCCTGCGTAGATCTCAGCCTCACAACTGGAGCTGAAAACAGAAGACGAGCGGGTGGACCGCCACGAAACTGAACCGGAGCCACGGCTGAAGGTGTAAACCTATGACGGCCATTGCATAGCCAAGTTGTCAACCCAAGAAGCGTCTGCGTGACCAGTGAGGAAAACTCGAGCCCGTCCTCCAAGCACGAGCCCCATGCCCGACGTACTGCACAAGTAGCGCATCACCCTCTTAGCGGCCTTCCAGTGCTCTGGTCGGTGTCTCCAGGGCGCAACGTAGCGTGCCAGGATGCTAAGACGGTAATCAAGGTCAGGTCGAGTGCAGGTCATCAGGTACATGAGGCAGCCTACAAGCTCTGGATACGGGCCACTCGGCTCTACGGACTCATCTGAAGGCAGAGTTGAGAGCGAGTGACAGGTAGGCAGAAGAGTGGACTGTGGCAAGGAGTGCTGGAAGTCGAAGCGCTGAAGGACCTCCTGCACCATGTGTGACTGAGAGAAGGTAATGGTGCGCTGTGCTCTGTCCCGGGTGATCTGCAAGCCAAGAGAGTTGCGCAGCTCACCCAGGTCTCTGCACGTATGTCTCCTCTACAGCTCCGACTTCACGTGGGCCAGTCCAGCAGTGTCAGCAGTGGCAAAGACCAAGTCATCGACGTACACGCGGATGTAGAACGGCGGCAACGAGGTATCGGTGCGTAGAAACAGCGATGGGTCAGCAGTAGAAGGAGCAAACCAAAGAGCCGCAAGAGTCGTCCTCAGTGTGTCGTGCCACTCGCGAGGCGCCTGGCGGAGACCGTAGACTGGCCGTTGGAGGCTCCACTGGGTACCTGCAGGAAACGACCCAGTGAAGCCAGGTGGGCGGCGCAGCCAGATCTCCTCGTGCATGCTGCCCTGTTGGAAAACAGTGCTGAAGTCAAGAGAGTGAAGCTCGTAGTCACGCTGAGCGGCGACGTGTAGCAGTACCCGAAGAGTGGTCATCTTCGGGGTAGGGGAGAAGGTTTGAAAGAAGTCAACTCCTTGTCGCTGACTGAAGCCTCGTGCAACGTAACGCGCCTTGAAGACACGCAGAGAACCCGGCGGCTGCTTCACCCTGAAAATCCACATGCCACTGACGAAGTTCGCCCCAGGTGGGGGAACCTCGTCGACGTAGGTGCCTGTGGACTTCCAGGATGCCATCTCTGCGTCCAAGGCTGATTACCACTGAGAGGAGTAGGGACCCTCTATCGCCTCTGCGTAAGAGCGCGGGGTCGGGATGTCTTGTGCATCCGGGTCTCCCTCAGGTGCAATCAGCATGGACACGAGATGAGGTACAGCAGCTGCAAAACACTCAAAGTCCTCTTGCCTGTCCTCAAGGATATCCGTGCCAAGAGCACACTCACCCCTGACGGACGGAGGACAAACAGTCTCAGACTCAGCAACAACACTAGTGGCGTAGTCTAGACAACAGGCGGCGGCAAAGTCAACCAGCTCAGCAACAAGAGCAGACACACCAGTAGACTCAAAGGAAGGGTCAGTGACAACAGTGGCCAGGAGACGTGTGACAGTAGGACTAGCAGTACGAAGGGAGTCAGACTCCGGGTCTGGACCGTTAGCAAGGGAGGAAACCGGAGGAGACGGCAGAGGGACACGCTATGGAACAGAGGAAGGACAAAGTGCCGTCTGGTGCGTGCCGGGGACAGTAGGAGGACGCGGACGCGGAACACGACGACCAGTGCGAACAGCGCGAACAGGCGACGCAGGACGAGACGCAGGCTCACGACGCTCCGTAAGACCTCCGGGCAACTCAGTGTAAGGAGAAGGAGCAGGCAGTGGGGAGGCTGGCTGTAACTACGGCTGGGACTGGTCAGGCGGTGGACACAGTAAGGGAGGAGGAAGGTCAGTAGAAGGCGGGAGACCAAGAACCTGCTGAAGCAAGGGAACGAAGTACGATCGCTGTCGCTCAGCGCCTACAGAACCAGCACCGACAGCACTAGTACCTCTAGCAGCTCCAGCTCTAGCAGCACCTCTAGCTCCAGCTCCAGCAGTACCTCCAGCCCCAGCAGCTGCAGTACCTCCAGCAGCTCCAGCTCAAGCAGCACCTCCAGCTCGAGCAGCACCTCCAGCAGTTCCAGCTCCTATAGCACCTCCAGCTCCAGCTCCAGCAGCACCTCCAGCTCAAGTACTCCCAGTACCTCCAGCAGCTCCAGCTCCAGCTCCAGCAGCACCTCCAAGCACCAGTGCCTGGTGCAGTTTCAACCACCTGTGATCTGGATCCCTCTCTACGTGCATCCCGAGGTAGTACTTTACCTCCCCAAGGTTCTTGCACTTGAAGTTCTCCATCAGCTGCTGCTGCACCTTCTGGATCTCCTTCATGCTGCTGCTAAAGAGAAGAATGTCGTCCACATAGACCAGAAACAGCACCAGCTTCTCCCCCTCCCCCTTGAGAAAGAGGCTCTCATCACAGCTGCTGGTCCTGAATCCCATCTCCTCTAAAACAGCTGCCAACTTCTGGTACCAGCAGCGTGGCGCCTGCTTCAAGCCGTAGATGGACTTTTTCAGCTTGCACACCCTGCCCGTACCATCCTCATACCCAGGTGGCTGCGTCATGAACACCTCCTCCTCTAAAATCCCATTGAGGAATGCCGTTGATATATCCATCTGGATAATGAACTTCCCACCAACGGCTGCATCTGCCAACAAGACACGAAGGGTAGGGGGTTTGGCAGTGGGAGCAAAGATCTCATTGAAGTCCCGCTTCTCCTTCTGCATAAACCCCTTAGCCACCAACCTACTCTTGTAGATGGTGACCTGCCCCTTGTCGTCAGTCTTGATCCTT